TTCCGTTTAGTGTAAAGATATTCGATATATATTCTCCAGAATTCGCGTAATTTCAAGAACGGATTAAGAAAACCGATGTTTAAAGGTTTTGACGAAAAGGAAATTTAAACATGAAAGAGATCCGTTATCAGAACGCGTTTCATGAATAATTGAAGAGTGACGAATGTAGAATTAGCATAATGCGTGAATGATGCCGCGAGAAATCTTCATCAAGGTACGACCTACATCGCATTTATGTTGCTAATAATCCTTATATTACTACTGTTTCCGTCGAGGTTAAACTTGAGACAGAATATGTCTATCTGTCTGTCTTTTATACATCTTTAAATAACAAGATTTTTTTAAAAATTAAATGCTGCGAAAAGAAGTTTAATTCCATATAATTCAATATCTAATAAGTGAATATTTAAATAAATTCATATTTAAATGTAAAAGTAAAATCCACGACAGATTGTATTTTTTGCCTCCTCTTTTTTATCTTCTCACTGATAAATATATTTAAATTGATTATTTTTATCTTTTATTATCAATCTCATTAATTAGACTCAGATAGATCCATAAAATTTTCGACATTATTGGATAAAATTACATCTTTGTGGATAAAGATAGATCGATATAATCTGTTATTCAGTAATTTGCTCCATTTCGGAGAGTTATACGCATAATTGTAGAGCGATTTAACTTTTAAGCCTAATATATCGTTAGTGGGCAATGAGCTTCTTGCGTCGGAGTTCTGGAGCAATAATTTCGCACCTACGTTAGAATTCTGCACACATCTGCCGATCGTTATTATTTCATTATGAAACAGTTCATTATAAAAGCTTAGAGACAAAGATAAGTTCGGGGAACCGGGAGTAATTTTTAAAATTACTAGAAACGTTGAATATCCAGCGAATCTATAAATTATTATAAGAAATAACTGACATAAAAGCTGGACAATTGACGTAGATATCTGTCAATTTGCGTCCATTTAAAGTTAATGATTTTCATATTAGATAACAACGCAAATTTAAATTATTTCCCAGAAATTATATAATCGCAAACAAGATTAGCAGCAGATATCTTTCGATTAAGCATATGGCTAAATAATCATAATGGAACATAATATTACATATGTATACATTTATGGTAATATTGAACTTTGAAAGTAGATTTTAAACTATAAACCTCAGAGAATTTAAAGACTCAAAAATATACCTGCGTAGAAAATATACTGTCAATTGGGACAGAGAGGCGGATAGTAAGATCAGGGACAAAGAGAAGCCGAGAGCAAATCGGACCTGTTCGGTTCGACTCGGTATTTCTCGGTAGAAGATTCCGTCCAGATGCTTTTCTTCGGTCCATGAAAATTGTATACTCAGGTATATCTTTGCTGAAGTTAGACGGATGCATATCTTGTGTATATTCGTGCATCGTAACTGTTATTTAAGAAGTTCAAAGCTAGTTTCCTTTTGATTTACTTGATACCGTTTGATTCGTTATTTATTTTTCGAGCTTTCACATGTGAGAGATCCGCAAAAGTATAATTTCAAATGTCTGGAAAACATAATATACACGAGACATTGTTTTAAAAACACAATAAAGAAATGCAATTCAAGTAGATCAAATCGAGTCATATCTGATAGATATCGTGTTTCGATATAGCGTTTCGTATTATCATATTTTATCATGATATTATCACTATAACAAAGTTTTCTTTTGTAATGATATCGTCGAACAAATTTGTCATCGAACAATCGGAATTCGGAGAGGAGGAAAATTACATGAATAAATAGAAGTGTCTTCAATCTACCTGAACCTATCGTGTCGGTCTGTTTGTAGTTGATTGCAGTCATTTTATTTGCAATGTACATATTGATTGAATTCAACAAGTGAAGGTGCGATAATAACTAATAGCATAAATTAAATAATTATAATAATATAAAGTAAAATTTATCTGTATAACACAAGGAGCTTTATAATTCAAAAATTACTGTAATAATTATTCGGCAAGTGTGACACTGAATAAATAATTATTAATACGATACAAATAGATATAACTACTCAAAATAATGTTAAATAAAATGAAAAACGTAACAATGCATGAAACGCATCGTGCTCTTCACAGGCGTCGTAGTTGCACTTTTAGTACGTTTCATGGACGTTTGTGTATAAATATGATTCACAATTCCTGCGTCTTTGTGCGAGTGTATAATTAGCGCAATGATGGCTCTAACTTGCCATTTAGTCGTCTTTTTATTGCGTATACTGTCTCGTGCTGTCGCGAACGTGCGAAAAACTTACCAGACGTTATCTTGCCGAGACTAAATTTCTCTCTCGCATGCGTGCCATCGTAACGACCCACGATGAGATTATATATCCAGTCAGGCGGAGGAGTGTTGATCCGCAAGAAAAATTCGCAACTTCTTGCCTCGAAAATTTTCCTCGGGAATACGTACAACTCTCTCCCGGGAGGCTTTTCACCCAAGTTTCATTGAAAAGGTATACGTCGCCTGATGCCCCCGTAAGTTTCCAAGAAATACGTCTTTCATAACTTTGCGCGAACTCCGCTGAATCTACGGGTAATGCCTTCGGATACGCGAAAATAGATTGCAGGTTGGCAGACCACCAGCGTGAAAATAATTCGCGATGCCAAGCGGTTAGCAATCCTTATCGGCGCATTCTGATTGTCGTATCTTACAAGCGAATGTGATTTCATCGTGATACGTTAGATAGCGGGATATTCTGATAAATCGTATGTAATGTATGTCAATGTATGTGCGACACAATCTAAGCCATCTAATATAATTTAATTTTAACTCATTGTCCCTTCACATTTGAATCTATCAATAAATTAAATAGAAGACCATCTGAAAATAAATTCGAAATTGGTTCATATCTAATTACGCCAATTTGCTGTATAAATGAGTACGTAGATTCTTTTCACGCAAATAACTATGGTAAAAAGTGGCGCGACCCATTTTTCAAAAAAAAAAACCTTTCCGGAAAAAGTCATTCCGGAAAAATCAGGCTACGAGTTATTGCATTACATACACACGTGTACATAAAATTCTAAAATCGATTATCTGACATCGTACTTTTAACAAAGAGAGAGAGAGAAAGTCTAAAAATATAAATATAATAAAAGCGTATAATATAATAAAAGATATATACATAAAATAATAAAAAATAGTACACATATATAGTTCTTATTAATATAGTTATTCTAATGTTGAACGGACCTTGCATCACTTGCAATAATAACTGATACTAACTACCTGCAATAATAACTAATCGCTGGTTATTTGCATCATGTGAAAAACGTGATATTATTCGTGACGATTAAAAGTTACTGGATCCAGATAAATAGTTTTGAACAAGCAAGCAAAATTGCTGACAATGTTCATGCATCTCATTCTCTTCAATATCGACCGCGTCAGAAAAGCATTAATCAGTCTTATATCTATGCTCTAATATTCCTTACGACACGGTGCGCACATGTGAAGGAACAATTTGATTATATCAGAGGCGTTAAAGTTTAACTCATTCGCGATTGCACCGATTTTTGTTCCGATGCACCGATTAATGTTCCAATGATCACTATAAAATTCAACAAAGAATTTTTATTTCAAGGGACAATTTTTATAAATAGTAAAAATATAGAAAAAAATTAATGTTTTATGAATTTCTTGTATAGAAATAAATTGATACAAAACTAACATTCGCATCTTAATAAAAATTTTATGACGTGATACTCCAAAAACGACTAGTGATTTTATTTGAAATATTTCCGTGTAAGATTAGCGAATACGAGAACTAATGACGTAATTGTAATGCCTTTAAACGAGCGATAAGCCATATCCATGATTGTCATTCAACACCATAGCGCGTGACTAAGGCTGTCTTACGCCTTTGTACATATGTCTGATAAAACTTTTGTCGTGTTTCTTTCTTACTGAAACACGAAAGTAACATTAACCTACTGCACTCAATATATATATTTGTGTGACTTTTCCATAATATATCTTCAGTAATTTTGTTATAAATTCTCTGTCACAGTGTTAGTGTAAAAGCTGTTCTCAAGCGAATAAATTGTATATACGGTGCCTTCTTTTTTATAGAATATCTCACGATGTACATAGCTAACAGATTTATGATCTGCAAAAAGATATTAATATATTTCTGACAATAAATATTATTATCAATATTATTTATTTTGAAATAACAGCAAGTGCAATTTATTATGCTATAAAGCATTGTCATTAACATTAAACACTTTTTGTCTCTATATATTAATTATTTGTGATATTTTAAAATGCATATCTTGATACGAATTAATTAATTAAATCATCTATCCATTTTCTACGAGTTTATAAAATATTTTTAATATTTTAATTTTTCGCAAAGTTTTATCTCTAAACGACCGTAATTATGTTTCGCCTATGTTACCATGGATGATGTATATTTCTGATCGGCGTTGCGACAACAATATCCGAGCATGCAATTTTCCAGGCGATTATTAATCGATCGATATCAGCATGACCCAGGTTTCTTTCAAAGAACGCTTTCCGGAAACAGCGATGGCAATTGTCATCGAATCACATCGCGGACACATCGTAATTATTGTACACTTCTATGTGTCGTACACATATAAACTAAACCACGCGTTTAGAATTGTTTCTTTAATTATCAAGAATTAAATTTAATGAAAATTCCTATTAAATTTTCGGTGGAATTCTGAGAGGTCAAGTATATCGAATATTTTTGCTTCAATACGTTTTCAACGCAAATTCAGGAAGACACATATTGCTATTTTAATATGATTTCGAATATTTTGATATACATCGGAACCGATAAAATATCGCACTTAACAATAATTATTTCACACACTAATATATTTATATATTTGTATTTATCATTCATGTTGCAAGCTATTACGCGATGTTGATCATTCTCGATTTGATAAACGCTGCTACAAAAATAAACTGATAATTATATCTTTGATTTTTTTCCTTTTGAAGCTGGCGCATCGGAAGCATTAGACTTAAAGCTTGATCAGAAAGAGAACGAGCACAGCTGTTTGGAACAACCAGTGGCCCAAACGAGTTTAGAGATGGGTTGTTGTGGTTGTGCGGATGAGGCTTCTAAGGTGGAACCAACGGTAAATATTTCCCTCGTACATATTATCCAGATATTTATATAAACGTAACATACTTTGACGTCGAAAAAAATAATTGTGTTATGTATATTATTCAAACATGAAGTTTCTTATGTAAATGGAATTTTCTAAATTAATTCTCATAATACATGCCTCATTCATTAAATTAATTATTTCTCATGCTGATTTTATATGTGCATACGTTTTAAATGTTATATTTTTATATATGCACACGATATAAGACTTCTTCGATGACTGTATGATTATTTTAAATTACGTTTCTTACACTTTTTTAGACACCTGAGAGTCATGGTTCACCGACGAATTATTCAGATAAGATCTTTGTCGAGAATCGATCATGTACCGATATTCTGGCTCTAATTGTCCTACTTATTCTCGCGGGTGGTTTTGTAAGTGATATCATTTTTTTCTTTCTTACATCATAAGACGTTTGAAGTATCATTTCGTAATTCGCATACACAGGCCTTTATGATGACGAACGTAGCGAAAAAGGGTGACATTTACCGTGTGATAAACGGATACGATGATTGGGGAAATGTTTGCGGTCGTGTAACCTCGAAGGAAATTGATCCGAAATTCCCTGGTAAAGGCGGTGACTACACTCGGAAACGGTGAGTACATTCTCGAAACTTTGTTCTATTTCAAAATGAGATTTTCTTGTAATTCGTTAATCCATATTAGAGCTAAGAAATATAAAAAATATGAGATAATACACATTTTTCTTAATTATAAACAAATAATAAATTAATTAAAAAATTAATTAAACAAGATATTTAGTACAGTCAGGTTTTTAGTAAAGCCAATTAAGTAAAAAAATACTTTGATATATAGTTTATTTTAAACATATTTTAAACATATAATCGCGATGATTTGACAATTGTCTACTACAGTGTTTAAAAATTACACGAATTGTTGCTTTTGTTAATAATTTATAATCCGCATTATTTAGGTATCTCGAAATCGACATCGATTCCACAGGAGTAAAGAAACGCACATGCGTTGCAAACTGCACTTCAACGCTAGAGGAACCCAAGTTAGTATTCTATGAAATTGATTACGCATTTCACAGTAATCAATTATCATGGTAATCAAAGTAATTATTAATCGTGGAATGCGAGAGATATTATATGTATCAAGTATACTAGTAAACTTGTTTTATTTTCTTTCAATATAAAGTTTCATCTCTATCTCGTAGAACGTTATTCCTGAACCGTTGCTTGCACAAGAAGGTGACCGATACCATCAACTCGATAATAAGGACTCTTCGCTTGGATAGTTTTTATAATGTAAGTAGCGAGAAAATTATCCAAAATTATATTTAAGTAAAAAAAATACGTAAACTCTTTATTGTGTTAAAATTCTGAGTTGTAAAGGAATATCCATAATTTGATTTCATATTTCTCGTCAATGTCTCTTAGGTATTTTCAGATCATATTTCTATACGGCTTCATTTCAACAGATAGTACACAAATAGACATTTATTCTCCTTTTCTGGAATATATTTTTCATGTTATTTTATCTTATTGTTTTCTTACATCAAAATCGATACATATCTTTCTTTTCATTATTGACTGAAAAATAAAAGAAAATTATTCCACAAAAAAGTCATCTGTCACACTCGTAAAACCAAACGATTATTTTAAAGTTTGGAAGAGAAAGAAAGAGAGAAAATAACTTGATTAATTTGATTTGAACATTTTATGATAATTACAGCATATTTAACTAAAACTCACTTTAATTGATTTCATTTTTTCATAAAAAACTACATAATGCTTTTTCAAATTATATTTCAAATTTTATAATAAATCAGTTTCTTGATCATCTTATTTTCCATTTCTTTCGATTTCTACATCAATTAATCTAAATAAATAAAGTAATTAATAAGTAATATAATAGTTCTTAACTAACCAAAACAAATAACAATAAATTATATCATTACTTCAGAACGCAGTCACTGATCTAGGAATTGCATGGCGCGAATTAGTTTATCTTTTACTTATAGCTTTGGGTACGTATCTTTCAAAAATAATATATTGTTATTTTAGAATTATTTAAAGCTTCCAATTTAATCAAACGTTTTATTGAATTCGAAAATATTCCAAGCAATTTATATACAATGTAATAAAAATCTGAAAACTGAATACTTTCAATATTTTATTTCGTGTTAACAATATAACTTTTTCATTTCATCATGGATATGATTTTTGCGAATTAAATTTCGGGAATGAATTCTTATATCGCTTTCGAGTGGTATAAAACGGAGATTTTGAATGATTGATTACGATCGGCAATTTTTTAGCACTTTCTCTCGCTATCCTGGTGGCTTTCCGTTATATGGTACAATACGTCATCTATATCGTATTGATCGGCGCAGTTTTGGCTTGCATCGGTGGCACAACGTATCTCTGGTAAAGGAAATTATTTCAAGCCGAAGATTAAATTGATGTGACAGATAAAAATCATACATTAAATATTTTACTTGAGAGATATTTATGTTAATAGAATATTTATTGCGATCAATAAGCGGTATGATCAATTATGATAAATTTATTCTTTTCTGTGCATAGGTTGGCATGGTATCAAGAGAAGAAGAGTCTGGATGAAAAAAACATTGATCCAGAGGATTCTAGCCTGCAGCCTTATTTTATCTACTCTATTATTATGTCGATTGTTACTGTAAGAGAAGTACTATACATAGCATGCAAATTTTGTGAACATTTTGCACACACACATGTAGATACACATACACACATATACACATACATATACACACGCCTCTCAGAAAGAGAGAAGCATATGTGTATGTATGTGTATCTATATATGAAATATATATATATTCGCAGGTTATCGTACTTCTGGTCATTCTGGTGATGAGAACGAGAATTGAGTTGGTCATGCAGCTTTTCCGGGAGGCGGGTAAAGCCGTATGCGCGATGCCAGCGTTGTTGTTTCAACCAATTTATGTGAGTATATATCTCCATTCAATTACTATCAATGATTACATTTAGTGTCTCATATCCGCCGTTTCATGTCAACGAATCGGATTCTCGTAAATGCGAAATATTCTCGTTTATTTTCAGACGTATCTGCTCATCGGATTCACGATGATGGCGTGGATCTACTGTATGCTATGGATCGAGAGCGCCGGTGATATTTATTTGAATCGCAAGAAGCATGTACATTTTAAGAAGGATGCATTACTCATTGTATGTGAGCGTATTATTTTATGTTACCTTATCAATTTTTATCGTACTCTGACTATAACCAAAAAATACATCTTTCTAATAAATGAAATTAATTTAGGCAACGAGATGGTACAATCTGTTTCTATTTTTTGTGGCATATGAATTTTACATGGGCTGTCAACATATGGTCGTCGCTTGCGCCGTTGCTCGATGGTTTTTTACAAGGTGAGATGATCAATGATAATAAAAAATAAAGTGGAGCAGACAATATAATAAAAGATCCATTATATGCAATTGCATTTTCCGCTTACAATACTATTTTTCCAGTAATCACATATTTTTTTATATCGACTTTAATGAGAGAGATACTTGATATTTTCTCTTCGATAGCCCATCTTTTTTTTTAAATCTCTTTCACATCATATTATCATACTACCATATTACTATATACTACTATATTTTATATTACTATATATTACTATATTTTTTATTTTCTTTTATACTTGCTCTTTTTGATACAATGTTCAATTCATCCAAATTTTAATCGTATAATATTTATAATATCATATAACTTGTATACAGAAAAACTGACCAAAAATTGTATTTTAACAGGGACAAGAGACATCTTTCCTTACCGGTAGTAAAGGGCTTTGGATATCTTATAAGATACCACCTGGGTACCGTTGCTTTTGGAGCTTTAATAATAGGTGTTGTTCGACTGATTAGAGCCATAATTTCCTTCGTTCAAAATCATCTGAAACGTTATGACAACGCTTTTGTACAAGGAATTCTATGGTGTTGTCAATGTTGTTTTTGGTGTTTCGAATGTGCTCTAAAATTTCTCACTAGGAATGCATACATCGAAACAGGTATCCACAACACATTTTATACTGATTAAGCTAGAAATTTGCCAAGTCTTTTTCCTATTCTTACGAACAGTGATATAATTGTAGAACAATAAAATTCATAAAATATTTACATATTTTTATCAATGTAATCATACAAAAATAATATTCTTTGCAGCCATATACGGATGCAATTTCTGCACAGGCGGAAGGAAGGCATTTCAAGCTTTGTCCAGTAATATTTTACGAGTAGCGGCGATTAATAGTGTCGGTGACTTTGTCTTATTCCTGGGTAAAGTCTTTGTCGTTACTCTTACAGTTATCGCAGGAGTTTATTTGATCCAGGTACAGATAAATTAATCATATAATATTCTCTTCCTAAGTTTTTTACTAAATATTTTAATTTCGTTTCTTCGTAGAAGAAGGATGGGCTTCATCATCCTTGGATACCAATCACTCTCGCAGGGATATTCGCATTCCTAGTCGCACATTGCTTCATATCTATTTATGAGGTAAATAATATATAAAAAAAAAAAAATATATATATATATATATATATATATATATAATAAATAATCTATATATATAATAAAAATATGAATAATAATTATATTATGAAAAAAATGATTTCTTTGCAGATGATTATTGACACGATATTTTTATGCTTTTGCGAGGATTGCGAAAAAAACGACGGTATAAGTCGACCTTATTTCATGAGCCGCGGTTTAATGGTTCGTATTATATCAGTAGATATATTTCTTTAATAGGTATATAGTTATTAAAAAATAATTTTTTTTTGTTCAGGAATTCGTGGAGAACAGTAAGAAAGCTTTGAGGCAAATAGAACAGCGAGGATCCGGGGCTGCGTAACAGGAATTATTAAACAGAATGTTTTAAATTGAATGCTTCTCTTGAAAGAATGCATTGTTGATTATTTTAAACACTCAATGTCCGAATACAAGTTGAATGGCATGGAATGAAAATGGAGTAAAATGACATTGAATGTTCTAATGATCTTGTCGGTAGATGATTGCAATGTCGCGTGAGACGAGGAAGTAAAGTTTTCTTTCGTACATGCACAAGCTGTCTTCTCTTAGGCCCAATTCCACAACTCACTTTAACGGAGGATTTACATTGCATCCAATGTCCGATATATGATTGGATACAATGGGCTTTGGACGCAATGTAAATTGTCTTTTAACGAGCTAAACTTTGGTTAGAATAAGTTGTGAAACTGGGCCTTAATCCACAGCAGTTACCGAAGTCGTTCCATACCAACGAAACGTTGCACACAAACGATCGTTTCGACGATCGATTCAACGGACTGATTACATTATAAAAAAAGTTATGTGAATTATTCTATATATTTTTTCGAAGTTCCTATTTCTAAAAATATTTTTTATATGATATAAGAAAGCGTATTTCTACACTAAGAAATAAAATTGTTAACGTGACTAAATCATTCGACTAAATCATTATTTTTTTAATTAAAATATTTAAATGAAATAGTACATATTAAAAAATTCTAACATGATATTCATTTAATTTAAATATTAAATTTCAAATCAAAAATAATAATTTAGTTGAACGGTTTACTCAAGTTAATAACTTTTTTTCTGTGTATATAATCTTAACTGAAATAGATACGATGTGTGTTCGCGCAGTTAATGCGAAGACGCTAATTGGCAGCTCGAACTTATTTCGTATTATTAAAAAAATGACTAGCGAACAATTTATAAGATGTCTATTCTGCATCTAGATATAAGTTTAATATATATAATATATATAAGTTTACGTAAAGTTATACCATTACAAATGTATCCGTTTTCCATGCTGTAAATATTTTTTTTTATAAACATGTGCCTATATGTAAATTTCATTTTGATACAGATGTTATGTAAGATACAATTAAACAACAGTTGACAACACACGTTAACGATATAACGATACAATTATATTATTTTAAAAGAGAGAAATATAATATTTATAAGCAGAGATTATAAAATTACAATGTATGTTATTGATGAACAAAATTTGAAATATATAAAAATTTATTGACACACGTAAGCCTAAATACTTACTTTTTTATTCTTTCGTCTGTAAAGGACGAAGACGATAATATGATACTGAAAAGAAAGAGTACGACAGGAGAGATATGATAGTCTTACGGCATAGGTGTTAACTTTGTCACTTTAATTTATTTTATCCGAGCACACTGTGCATGAACAATCATGCTTGGCGGTTTACAGATCTCATCTTATGCCGGCTTAGTAAAGTGATGCGTCGTTAACACTTAGCTGGCAGTAAATCGGGATGACGAATCGGACGCTACGAGAATGACGCGGGACTTTGGTCTGTTCAGGCCGGATTCAGGCATTTAGGACGAGAGTGGAAAGAGTAGACCGTTAAAAAAATTCTTTCTCGCACTTGTAGTGCAACGCGTTCGAAATAGCGGTTTTATTCGCTAGAATCTGATCGGTGGGGAAGGAGGGGGGTGATTTACGAACAGCGCAACAACAACAAAGCCGAGGTTTACAACGGAATTACATGCGTTCGATGTGATTACGTCAACTTGCATTTTAGCGACATATACGTTATTATATATGCGTTATGTGCATGTATCGCATATTTTAGGAAACCAATCCAGTGTGTATATATGTACGTGTTGTTGTGTGGATTGGTTACAGCACATTCTGTTTTATAGCACGAAAATATCTTATTCTTTCTCTCTCTCTTTCTTTTATTTATATCAATAGCTCGCCTAGAATAAATGAATTTTCCCAGACATAGGAAAATGCCAAAGATATGTACACTTTACGTTATGATGGAAGAGACACTTTACTCTATTTGCTGCTCCAGAATATACATTGTTCGAGCTTCGCGCAAGGGACGCTTTCGCTTTATTACATAAATATATAGGACCGACATAAGCTACGTGTGACCTCCTGATGAGGAAATTTTGCTTGAGCTTTTCGTACTAGATAATCTCTCTCTCTCTTTCTCTCTTTTGTCGCTTACAACTTTATCCAATTGTCCGTGACGAAGAGAGATCCTTGTATACTTACTGTAAAATTCTCTCTATCATTCCCCGAGATTATACTCTCATCACACCGAAATAACGTTAATGCCCATGTACACCGCGATTGTTAGTTTCCGAGTTTCAAAAGTAGATTCCCCCGAGTTGCAATACACGCTACAATAGGGTGAAAAAGATAAAATCGAATCGAATTCTTAAAATCAACGACTACACCGATGCAAGGTACTTGGCTTTGTACGACTTTGTATTGCACTTTGTAGCTAGCGCAAACTTAGGTCTGTGTGAATCTTACGAATTATTATTTTTGGTCTCGTTAGGTCATCGTCATCGTGCGACGCATAGATAGATATATAGATAAGAGTTGATACTCGAGATATTATTGAAGTCATTGCAGAATTCTCAGTCTTTATCAAAGAAGTTACAATCGACGCATTTTGTCCCGCGAACTTAGAGACGAAAAAGAGAAAAGGAAAGAATTTGACGATCGGTCGTCGCGAGTTGTAACGAGTTCAATAGTAACGCCTCACAATTAACATCATCTTGTGACGCATATAATCCGAGATTATAGATATAATCTTCTTAATAATATTAAAAATATATAATACAATGTACGCACACAATACAAAACGAGGAAGCTGAAAAATGCGCGGAGAACTCGCGAGAGAACAAAAGTACTTCGGCGTTTATCGAGCGTCCGGCACTCGATCGTAGAGACTCATAATAACTTTATGCAAAAGCGCAAGAAAGGGACGAATCGCGAGACAGGTGATAGATGAACGATCAGATAACAAATTGCGAGAAAACGTTCGCATCGCGATATAAGAAAAAAAAGACGAGATCGCCCGACGAATTTTCGCTGCATTGCACACAACAAACACTCATATTATACTTATAATCACGATTGCAACGCGGCTTTTTTTAACTAGCCGACAGCACTCGCGATGATGACGATGATAGAGAGACGATGACGATGACTAATATCGACGATAATTCGTCTAAGCGACCGTTGATGCGGATGCGAGATCGAAGAACGTCGCGAGATGTGCTCAACCGGCAAGCACGTTCAAACAGATCTTGCATACCTATTGCTCGCCGCCAATTATTTAGATCTAGAAGAGAATAGACGATTGCTTATTCTTAAGCTTCTAATATCTGCGCGTAGTATTATGCGCTCGGTGGGCTTTATACGTCGCGCATCGCTCGCTCAACAAGTACACTTCTTCTATTCCCGTTTTTAACGGACCTATTATACACGCAAACACCATGGAGCGAGTTTCTTTCCCTCTTTAATCGTTTTCCTTTTTTTTTTTTTTGTTCAAACGCAACTCAGGCTATATCTGTTGTAGGGCACTCGCACCTCTTTCTCTATCTTCTTGTGTGTTTGGTTACAATTCGCGTTAATTTATATAAATATATAGTCAATCGCCATTCGGAAATTATATCTGTATTTAATAAGTTAGGGGAAGCTTTGTGTAAAGGCATGTGTCATGTAGAGGAGGAAAAGAAACCGTATTTTAAAAGAAAACGAAGGAATATTGTGAAAAAGAAAAAAATACGCGACAAGAGGAAGACACTATTCGCACTGCGCGACTTTGTACCCGAAGTTGCATCTAAATCGTGACGCAAATTGCTTTTGCACGCATTACGCATTATTATATCATGTTAGATTTTTATACTACTTGGAGAAATGGGAGAAAGAGGAATAATGATAATGATCAATAATGACAATAGCGACAATCGTGGAGATGATACTGATCTCTCACCGTAATAATAGCGATTGTAATAGTAATAGTAGCGGATATAATAGTAATAGAGTATTAGAATAGTGTAGAGTGATAATAATGTAATAGAGTAATAATATAATATTAATAATAATATAATATAATAATAATGATAAACTCTGCAATATTTAATACATTGTTTGTTCACATGGACTAGATACAGCTCTCTTAGAGTGACCGATGGATCAGTACACTCTTTTTCTTTCTCTTATTTTTATCTTGATCCCTGTGTTCTATAGATCAGCGGGGATATGATGTAATCAGTCAAGTAAATTGATGGCAGACCAAAACCACGTAATATATCGCGATTAACGGTTACCATACGCGCGGATTAATCGCATCGCGCGCCCTTAACTTAATGTAATTTCGGCATCAGCGAGGAACAGATCATATTTTTTTGGGAAATATTTTGGAAATATTAATTGCGAGTACACGCATTGCACTCTGAATTGCTTACGACGTTGTTTCTATATAAACACATCTGACATCAATTTTGCACTTGGAAATGCAGTTAGCCGCTATTTTTCTTAAGGTATGCCAAGACGCGGCATCTATGCTATTTCAAAGGTTTCCCACCCCCCCGAAATAAAAACCGAAAATCAGATCTTTCAAACGATAAGAATATTTCTGTATCAATAAAGTAACTCGCTACAAATTATATACAGTTTACAGAAAAGATTGTCGCGCAAAAAAAGTTTCACGCTATTTAGTTATGTCACTGGCACTGGAACGAACCTCACTTACCTATCCACACTTGTGTCTCTCATCTGGCGCTCGAACTTTCTGCTTCTTCCGAGCGGAAACGATTCATCAACAAAGACTGCAACACTTGGAAGCGTCCCCGAGATGAATGTGGCACACAGCGGGCAGTTTGGCGCAGCCCTTGCCGACGATACTCTCCTGCACGAGATGCGCGAGACCTAGATTCTGATTAATGTCGCCATCGCTGCCACGATGCTGCTTCGTCGCGGCGTCGCACCATTGACGACGTTCCCGCCATTTATCCTCGGCCGCTGTAGAGCAAAACAGCATCGACTTGGGCGACGGCGGACTCACGCGATCGCGCGTAATGCTGCCGCACGAGCGAGCCTTGTACAGGCGTCCCTTACCAAAGCCCGGCAACGGTACGCAAAGCTTCTTGTGCACTGCGAAGTAACGACTTAGCAGCCGAATCTTCCTGCTTTTACATTCGTTTCGGTTTATCGAGCCGTTGCCACGATTCTCCTTATCGTTGTACGCCGCATGACTGGTGCCTTTGTGATCTCCGCGACGTTCGTCACTGGCATTGCCGATCGTTTGACAGCAATTATCCGATTGACGATGATTGTTACTTTTGCTATCGGGGCTATGAGCGGATTGTTTGTTTGAGCTTTGCGATATTAGAGACTTTCCAGTAGACCAACTCTGCAATAACCTCGCGCCGAGGCCTTTGGCCTTTTGTACCGTGGTAGCTGCCACTTGAGAGACAGGCTGAGGAGTGCCATGCTGGGAAGTCGTATTGCTCTGTGACGTCGACGATGATGACGATGACGTGTTTGGCGCGCCAACTACGGTCGAATTACGTGATACGTGACAGTGATTGTGACAAGACGAGGGCGCCTCGGCTTCCTGCACCTCGGTGATACGATTCAACGATTGGCTCTCTCGCAAGCGTGTTTCACCGGCTCTTCTTCTACCAGCGCGATGTCTTCTACCGAATATGACTTGATTCTCGGTACATCGATGCCTACTACCTCCTGTCGTCGTTGTGTTTGTGTTGGTCGTGTTAGTGCCGCTACTATTGTCATTTCGATTGCTTTCAGTCGTCGTCGTGTGTTCGCCATTACTCACACTGCTTCCTCCACCGCCGATCACCCCGCCTCGTCCGCCACCACTCCCTCCCGGATCCTGCGAATCGCTCGAATCATCATGACTATCGCGTCTTGGAGGTAAGGGTTTGCCAGTGGAAGCCCCAAGTTTGTGTGCCCTCTTCTTCCTACTTTCGCTGTCGTCATCGCTGGCGTCGGAACTCGAGCAAGAAGTTGTACGCGTTTTATGGAATTTACTCCTTCGTTGTTCATATGCTGTTCGCCTGACGACGCGACATTTAGTTGTCGAACCTCCGCATTCGGTGGAGTTTACTGATGCCTGTATACCATCTCCATCCTCCAGGATTTCATTAAGTTGCGTTGTAGACGAATTACCGCTGCCAGGCGATGGCATAGTCTTGTACTTAGGCGTTAATGTTACTTGATTGTCGCTAATTGGATGAAGAGGTATCGATACGGTTGATGACTCAAGCAGAATTGTAGTAGTTGTCGTCACTGTCGTTTTCGTAGGGAGTTGAGACGGTTTTGAGGAAATCGTAGGCTCCGTAAGCGGCACGCTAAATCGATGATGTTGAGCACCCATTCTCCACTTGTTTGCCGGAACCGATGCGCCAGTTCGGTTTAAACATTCCGTCACCGATTTGGGCCTGACTTCCGTGTTGTTAGTTTTTCTAGACCATCCTATAGTTGGAGCATTTGCGTCACTTAATCGATTCTTCAGATTTTCTTCGCAAGTAATTCGCGGTGACACGGGCAGCTTCTCCAAGAGAACGTTACCCATTTGAACTTTTCCCGTTGTCTTCGAGTGAACCGGTGACGATGACTTTTTATTATCCTTTTCGTTTCTGGAACTCTGTTTCAGTCTTTCTCCTCTGTCAGTGATAACGGTATCTTCTTTTTGGTGTGGATGCCGTTGACTCTGCATGGGTTTTGCGCCGGTATGTTTCTCCGGAAGCTGCGATAACCGTTCCTGCAGGATATGTGAAAGTTTTCCCTCAGAACGGGAACCACGGCGATTAAAGGAATTTAACGTCGAATTACTGCCGCGCTCATCACGGCCGGAACAGGAGGACACATCATCTTCGTCTTCCTCCTCTTGGACGATACTGCATTTGCGCGAACGCACGTTCTGCAATGAGAACAGCCATCTTTGTTTCCCGAGCGAGGAACGTTATCCGGCAGACGATATTTTATGTGCCTGCCTTAACGTTATGTTCGGTCACATTAGTTGACATCATTTTAGATGATAAGCATGCGATACATACCTGTGGCACATCACCGGGCGTCCGTGGCACGCTCAATAACGACTGATTGACAGTGCCCAAAGAATTTTGATCCGTTCGTAGATTTGTTGTCAGATCATCTTGCCGGCTGCACAAAATTGCAACGTACATTAATATGTTAGTGACTTCATTCAAGTTGACGCGCGATATAAATATTTAGAACTCGCATATTTTATAAGTGAGTCACACGTGGAAGCAACACTAACAAGGGGTGATTCAGTACTTAAAACATACCTCGAAGAAACATCTAGAACCTCTGGCCGAGTTTTCTGCATCTGTTCCTGTCGATGAGCGCGCAACTTCCTTTCCGCCAGCAAAAAATACGTCGCGGTGATGTGGTTGTACTCGTTCTTGTCGAGCGCGCTGAAAGAAGATCGACGGTGAGAATTACTGAAAGTCGCGCCGACGCGTACACGCATGCTCAAAATATATACTAACACCGCAAGACTTCCTAATGTCTACTCACTCCAATATCTCTTCCTTGGTGGCGATATTACCGTTAACCATTTTGGTAATTATATGATTGTGATGATCGTCGGAGACTTGTTGACGCGACACGAGCGGCAATGTCTCCATAGTGTCCGAATCGGAACCGATCGCTAACCATGGATCCGCCGCGATTTCCTCGAGAGACGCTCTGCCTTCGGGTTCCCGTACGAGCATCTTAGCGATCAGCCGCTTGCAATTATCGGACACATGTGATGGGATCGAATATTTACAATCCATAATCATCGTCAACGTTTCGCTGTCATTCGCCTCTTGAAACGGCGCTTGGCCGCATACTAACATATACAATATTACACCTAACGACCAAACATCTGTAATAAATCAAAACGACAACCTTATATATGTTATCGGGATCACTTTCAGATTTTTTTTTTTACAAATATCCAACCGATTTGGAAAAACTTTTAACAAAAGAAATAACTTAAAATAAAAACGAAAGAATAAAAATAATAAAAAAAATAACATATTATTTATCGTTTAAATTAGAATTCTTGGCTAATTACATATCTATAATAACAAGTCTTAATAACTTAAACCATCTTTGTTAATCTTTAATCACATTAATTAACGAGCTTACCTACTGCGGGGGCATCGTAACTATCACCCAGAAGTATCTCTGGAGCGGAGTATGCTAATGAGCCGCACGAGGTCTCGAGCTTCTGACCAGGATAGAATCTATTACTGAATCCGAAGTCTGTGAGTTTCACCGTACCGAGCTTTTCGAAGAACACAACATTCTCGGGCTTTAAATCCCTATGTACTACGTGTAATCGATGACAATACGATATGGCCCGAACTATCTGCCGAAAGTAAGTCCTGGCCACCTGACAGGTGAAAAGTATTTATATTTTACATTGCAAATACATTATTGACAAATGGCAGATGCTCGAACAATTATCATAAAATTTTAGAATTTCTTAATCAACATATATTTTATTTAAAAAAATATATAAATATTTTTGTCAATTTAATATCATTAGTGATTAATTAATATTATTAGTTATTAATCAATATTACAGTGCTAATATTTAATAATAATATTTAATAAATTTGAATATATAAGAATTAAACTTGTAATTATATTCTTTTATTTGCGCGATGATTGCAAACCGACAGCGACAATAAAATGACATGGTCGTGCAACAATACCTCCTCGCTGAGACCGCTGTCGTGCCGCATGATGTAATCGTAGAGATCTCCGCCATCCCCAAGCTCGAGAATTAAGTATAGCTTGGTCTGCGTGTCTATCACCTCGTATAATCGCACTACATTGGGATGCTGCACCAGTTTCATGCACCGCACCTGCGACACAGATTAATCGCGATCATAATTAATGCGCAAGAACGAAATTTATTTTGTCCGAGCGAATCCAGAGGTCAACGATTCTGTCCGCCGTCCAGTTGCATTCAGCATCATTATCTCGTTGACCTTAACGAGATTCACCGCGATAAAGTCCATGCGATGTAACTGCGCGAGACTATTCGATCTCCGATTATATTATTGAACCAGTCATTAAAATCGCATTACGCGAATCAGGATGTCATTTCAATGGTTCTACTATATCTATTAAGGCAAGCGATTCGACGCGGAAAGCAACTCTGATTGCGAATTCATGAACTATACAAGATAGATACAAACAAGGAATGTCGTTTGGATTCTATCTATATATAATATGATTGACAAATTGAGATAAATTTGAGATAAAACTAAATCTGAAATAGCAATGTACCTTAACTTTATAAAAAAAAAAATACTAAAAAGAAAATAGAATGTCTGAAGCGAAGAAAAATAATTTAAAAATTCATACGCTTTCTATAAACTTTTCACATTTTAATATTTAATTAAATTATTTTTAGCAAAGAGGCAACTTTATCCACTTCTGTTGAAAAAACGAAAGATCAAACTGGATGGATCGTGGGTAGAAGAACTTGAAATATATTTGCTGACATTCGTCGCATATAGGCGATTGATAAAAAGATTGGTAAAATGTGGGCGACAATTTTTCTCTCACCTCCTGGAAGAGATGCGCTCTCGAGACTTCGTCGAGCTTGTTCTTGTCGATGACCTTCACTGCGACCTTCTCGCCGGTGAAAACGTGCCGTGCCAGCTTCACTATGGCAAAGTGACCGCGGCCGAGGGTCTCCTCCAAGTCGTAGAGCCCGGCGATCTTGCCATCGTAATTGCTGTATCCCACTCTTCGATTCATTTCGTGTCACTGCAATGCACATCGTGAGTTCTTTGTACGTGGCCAATGGAAAGGGAAACGTATTATTCGTCATTTAATTAAAATAATGATTGTGAATTAGACAATATTTTCCAATCATAAATTGAATGTGAGTGACACAAAACAAACGAAAATACAGATAAGTATGTACTTGAAATTAGATCTTCTGAGTTTGAGATGTTTACAAATTTAAAATCTTTCTAGCATACGTACATTTTGAAAGATTCTCGAAGTTTTTAATCAGAGAGATTAAATAGAGATTAAATAGAGATTACTCTGTCAAAATTAACTAAATGCCTTGCTCAGATTTATCACAATTTCTAAATTTTTAGATCTTCACTTACATATATGCCATAGGATGTAACGAGTGAATCGATAAATGTCAAACATCGAACTCTAATCGATTGTTTAAACTGTGTACAACAATCGCATACCAAGCGCAACGGCTCGGTCTACTCCATACGAGAAAGAGGTCACTATTATTTTTAGCGTAAGTAGGAGCAATAATTAATCGCTTCGTGAACATACGATCGGCAATGGTACAAAAAAAAAAGTACACTCGGTAGAACGATGGCAAGAACTATCGGTTCGGAAATATTCGTAATGTGAAACTAATGGACCGTATACGCGATGCGCGTTAAACTATAATTATCTGTGATTCAGACTCAAGTAGATAAATTACTTACATCGTACCGAGGGGACTTGTGGAGAGCGTCTTAGAAATCGTGTATTACTTTCAACTTGATTTTTCCTCGGCGAATGTCGAATTAGAAATTCAAATCATTCGTACGCGAGAGAAATTATCATTCATTCATTGATCGCCCGGTAGCTTGATAAAAAGATCGACGGCTCTTGTCAAAGTATCGTGAACGTGAGTCTTTTTCATTCACCTGCCTTTTCATTCGTCCGACAAGCGCTAATGCAAGCACGGGATAAGAACTGCGGGACCAAATTTAGCGCCGGATGACGGTGGGAATAGCGAAGCCAACGTTGCTGCCGAGGACAACGCATTGTCTTCTGTAATTGCGAAACGCATCGTCGTGTCGCGACGCCGAGTCGAGCCGCGATTCGCCGAAGGCGTCGTCCGTCTCGCATTCCGTCCTCCCGCGTGTATAAGAGGCGCACGAAAATACGATACGAATACCGGGTCGCGAAAATCTCGATACATATATATGTACGTATATATATATATATATATATATATATATATATATATATATATATATATACACATATACGCCCGCAACTTCCTTCGCAAAGGCGGGAAACGCGGCCGCATTGCCCATCGGGAATTGCGGCGAATCATTTCTTCGCTATGCGTGCTCCGGATGCTCTTCGCGAGGATTACGAGGAACGTAAAAATAAACTTGCCGAACGAAGGCGAAGACACCAATAAGGGAGAAGACGAACCGCTCCCGAATCGTTCGCGCTCTCTCTCTCTTTCTCTCTGTCCCTCTCGGAGTGATCTGTTCTTATAAGAAAAAAACGCCGAAAATCCTTTTCCTTTCAATCAGCTCGACGAAAACAGATCGGATTAATGCTTCATCGATCGAATCTCCGGCGCACGCTATGCAATTTATAGCAAACGCTGACGCAAGACTGAGAGAGATTCACTCACCAAGGTTTACGGCTTTTATTTTGCGTGAACGCCTTTATTGCCTACGTCGCGATATAAATAAGGCGCGAGTATTCATTCGCCGACGTTGGTATTATCGGACGAGCGTACTCTGCACCGTTCGTTCTCCTTTTTTTTTCATTGTTAAGATTGATAAGTTATCTTGCGTTAATCCATTGAATCAATGCTGCCAGCTCGTCGCGCGTGCCGATTTATTGGATATTGAAAAATATTCGCGTAGACACGCAACGACGAATATTTGTCGCATGAAATAATGCGCCATCGATCACGCTTCGAAGCACAGATTCAATTAAAATAAATAAACGGCGCGGACGTCATATCGACGCGTTTAATTCGAGTTCTTTCCGCCGCGATGGGAAATTAATCACTGTTACGTAATTGCAATTGATATCATTACAACAGGGGAAAGGGGGAAAATAATGTGATTATCGCGAAGGTTTCGCGAGATTTATCTCGACCTATGCATCGTTATTAATGAGCGTGTGATTGACAATATGACTGCGCGTGACGTGAATACTTTAATTTCGTTATTTTACGTGTCCGAAATATCTCTTTTGCCCTGAGTAAATAATAATTGTAGTTATCTAGGTCAGGGATTTCTAAACTATCGTGGCTTGTGACACACAAGTGCTTTGAAAAATTATGCTGATCCTGGGAAAATACGAACGTTTTTATAGCGCAAGGCAAATCGCGCAAGAATAATACGCATAAATCGCGAAAAGAAAATAAATAAAACGTCACCTACGCTGTCCAATAATTTAATGTAAAACTCGAAATACTATGTCACAAAAATGTGTGATTTAATACAATCGCGATAGTCAAGTTAAATTCATGATAATTTTTCAAATCAACATTTTCTCTAAAAATTCATATATTAATCTAAAAAATTCTTAAATAGCGTATGCATTATTTCTTTCACGTCTTTATCACTATTGCTGGTACATTTTCCGATCTCTCTGAATAATCTTTACAATTATAATAACTCGCCGTTTGAATTGCGGTATTAATATTGATTCTGGATATTCACACTTGACAATTACCATATAATAATTTTCCACGTGTAAGGTAAACGGAAGTCGATCATCCTTTATTCGGATCCGTCATCCGTCGTGGTGGATTGCACTTGGTATTTAACCGATAACCATGCTCGTCCGGAATCAAGATTTACCTGATGCAGACACGTCCGTAATAGTATCAGTGATGACCTGCTTTTACCGTGTCCGTGTAATAATGAGATGCATGAGCGTCAGTTATACGTAATAAGTTTACGACTGTTCGAGGTGAGAGTACCTGGAACGCGCTCACACCAACCGTGACGAGTTAAACGAGATGTTGGATATAATATTGTACATACATCGCGAATTTTTATTTAAAAAAAAATTAATCCTGAAAAAGTAAAAAAAAATTATCCCGTTATCGATTCGCTAAAACGAAAAAAAAAATAATAATTGAGATCCACGATGATCCGATACGGATTCCTCAATATTGCAATAATACTTAAGCTACAAATACTCCCGGATAATTTTTTAGATATCAAAAAGCGTGGAATGGATTTATCTCGCGAAAAAGCGCGGAAGCGGTTTTTCAGTAACGATTAATACGGATTTTCTCGCGCAGACACGCGCCCGCGGCCAGAAATTCCATCGAACGAAAACTTTGCACATAGAAAGCGTAATCCGTTCTAATAATAAACGCGGCGCGTGGACCCGCATTTGAAATTTAAATCCTGTTACGCATTCCTCCTCGTAGCACTCGTTTCCCGGACGCAAGAAACAGAACGCCGTGTTCTCTGAATTACTTTCGCGTTTCGCGCCGATGCGGAAGTCGCGAGGTATGGAACATCGTGCACGATGAGTTAGATTTTTCAGATCCGCGACGAAGCGGGTCGAAATAAATATTGCGATTTGTAACAGTCAGAGGAATGACAGAGCGCTTCCTGATGAAACTATGTTGCAGAAAGGTCGACAATACACCCACGCGGCCAACGAAGGATTTTATCCGAAGAATTGAATTGATATGTAGCTGCGCCGGCACATTATTCACGTATACGCGAATGAACTGTGTTCACTAATCCACATGTTGCACCGGGCGTCTTTCTTTCGCTCAATAAATCAATTAATCTATCTGACGAGGCGTATCTCGTGAAAAGTGGTCTATTGTCTATCGGAAAATGTGACATTTAAAAAACGACCGGCTCTCCGATACTCTCCCACGATCTATTCTTATTTTTATAGACGCAGAGAGATCGATGTATTAAAATCACTTACTAGATTATACAATAGTAATAGCTTTAATTTTATATTTGTCACCTAGTAATTTAGATAAATTCTATAGCATGAAAATATTCCAAGTTTTGAAATGTTTTATTAAATTATTTGGAGACTTTCGCGTAAACATAAAATACAAAATACAAAATGTAAAATAATGTGTAGTTGATAGATTGGCTACAATTCTTTCATTTTACTCTAACGTAGTAAGAATTATTTAGAGAATTATGTAGAAAGCTGTTTTCTTTCAAAAGATTTCCCAATATTTCGTCTTGTTAAAAAGAAACGTTTCGAATATGTGAATAATATTAAATTTATCTGAATGTAAAAACTTTTGAGATCCAACCTTGACATATTCTATTAGGTATTTTGAAAAGAATAAAAAAAATTGAAGAGAGAATTCTTCAGCATTCTTACAATATTTATCAAAAGTCAGAAAAATAAGAGATGATCGTGAATTATTAACGAAGAACTCGTGCAAGTTTCGTCTTCCCACATATTCTACATGATTCTAGATGACGAATAAATATTTTTATTTATTTTATATTTATATATAATTTGTATTACATCTTTCTTTTAATAATCTTCTATCTATAATAAATGAACACTACAAAATAAAGTTTGTAATTATTTGATGCTTAAAAGAACTAAACTAGATCTCTGTGTAAAGAACGACAAAATCCACTTAAACTTCTCCACCAAGATACTTTTCTTTTATATATATATATTTCTTTTTTTCTTTCTCTCTTTCTTTCTTTTTCTCTCAATCTTCTGGAATTGATTTTACAAAAACAGAATTTTACAGAACGATTCTAAAAATTATCCTAAGGAAAGCAATCGATTTTAAAAATTATCTTAAGGGAAACAATCGATTTTAAAAATCACACATATGATTAAAAAGGAAACTCTCCTAAATTGCGCAACAATTAGTACCTTTAATACGTTTCGTTTTTCTTTTTTCTCGGTAAAATCGCTTTCTTTCGCGCAACCAAAGTACAGCGGTACAATTATAACGGTAATTAGTGCGCGCAATAGCCTCCTACGCGGATCCACGATCGAAGCGACGATGTATAATATGGGCCCCGTGA